TGTGTTTTACTCTACAGTAATAAGGAATAGCTTACAAAGATATCTGAGGTAATGGTTTTACGAATATCACAAGAATATACTTAATATAATATAGAATAACTTTTGCAAAGGCTCAAACCGCGCTCAGGAAGAATATGGTTAAAAACCGTGGAAATGCACTAAAACGCATCAGCCTGACAAAGAAATACGAAGGCAATAGGTTTTCTGTCTTGAACGGGTGATCAGGCTTCTCGGGTATTCGCAAACAAAATCTCCAATTCTTCAACACCAAGTGACACAACTAACACTCCCAGATCCAGTAGATCACGTTTCATACCCATGGGCCAGGGCCACTACATCCGGGTTAAGAACCATCACAACAATCTGTGGAATATCCTCATCCACATAGGTCTCTCATGCCACTGTTTGAGACTGCTGGCCACACCAGCGCAAGCCTACGTCGCATATGTCAACTTTATGTTGGCACTTTGACAGTAAATGGTCTGCCAAAACATATTCCTTTAGGCGTGAAAGGAACAAAACTATGACGGGGAAAATTATAGGAATGAAAATTATTAATGATACCAGGTGTTCTCGGAAACAGTAAACATCCCCAATTCTCACTAAAAAGAAAAAGTTACTGGATGAAAACGCTTGCCATAAACTTACGACTCTGGTGTATTATATTGTGCCATTCCATTTGTCCGGCAAGACACATTTAGAATTCTTTAATTCACTTTTCGCAATCCCATGCAGTTATCCATTATTTACCTCCAATCACACATATCGCCAGGCTTTAAACAAAAAAAAGTTGGTCACAATTGTGGAAGAACTACCATCCACAACCATCAACCAACCATGAACATCATATTTCTCCCTTCAACAACCACCAGTATCCTACAAGCCCTCTCAATGTAATGTCTCTCCTATCACCCTCGGGCTTTTCGATGAGACCAGATTGCAGAATTAAGTGGCAATTATGCGATGTTTTAGCTCCAGCCGGGGTTTCTTAATCTCCCTTTGTCAGCAATCAAAGACTTCATTATGCTTCTTCCAGTGGCAATATTACCTCATATTTAGAAGTAGGACTTCATTGTTCAATATTTAGTTTCATTATTTTCATCACTCGGGATTAGCCTTGATGGCATGACGACAGATCGAGAGATCCCAAAGTGCAGAAACATGCAGGGAAGAGGCATTGATGGGTACGTGGCACGGTTGGCGTAATGGGTTTTGAATGCCTCCAATGAGGAACAAAGAAACTATAGTTCAATGACTAGCACAACAGTTCCTTCTGAAAAATGTAATTTTGTCTCTCGAAGTATATTTTTTCAAGCGTACATTGTCTTGAATAGCTGTCTGCTTAACATTGTATTATTAAAGACATGACTGATTTGTTTGTTTATTGTTTAACGCCACCCTCAGCAATGTTCTAGCAATTGGGATACGACAGCATGCATCAACCAAGTCAGCGAGTCTGATCACCCGATTCCGTCAGTCGCCTCTTATGACAAGCATGGGTTGCTGAAGACCAGTTCTTATCCAGGTCTTCACATCCAGGTTGTTGGTAAAAAAATACTAAAACCCACCAAAACCCGATGAAAACCAGATGGGAAATAGAGATATATCAACGACACTGAAGGTATGTTAATATTTACGTATCGATTTTCGTATCTTTGAATGAACGTTTTATTAAGTTAATCATATCCAGATATTATCCAAATATCATTGCAACGGTGTATAAAGGCGGTCAAAAGGTTGATTACCCTCAGTGACATTCATCATTGCCATACATAGCCCCGTCCAGCGCTGTAAATTTATGTTAAATAAGATTATATCGATCGAGTCCTGCCCTCAGTTTGATCTTCTTTACGCATTTTCTTGCTGCAAAGGTACTTTGTTATATTCAAAAGAGTCCCGTGTGGCTGGCAGCTGTTCGCACGCCGAATTATTGAGACTGTGACAGAAAATGTTAGGTGCACATGTACTAGAAAATTGAAGAACATTGCATACTAAGAACATGTTTGAGTCAAGGCATTAAAGTAGTTAAACAATTTGTCCTAATAATAAACACATAGCCTTTTATTTTATTCTTTGGAAAAACTGATATAGTCTAATGGTTATAACTGAAATATATGGGACAAAATCCTTTCCACATGCATGAACAATCTCTGCTGAAAACGAGTCGAATGAAAATTCCGACAATATCATGAGCATGTGTTTATGAGTCACTATCAAAAGTAACGATGCCAGGTGCTCAGGACAAAAATGAGTGTATCCTGCGCCACCGGTGTCACCCACCATAAACACATGCAGAGGCTAGTCAATTGTTTATCTGGAAATACACGGGGACGTGCAGTAAATTCAAGATAGGGAATTGCATCGTGCATCAGTTTCGTCAGAGACAGGTCAAATACGGAAATGCCCTCCACATGTCTACCATAAAACGTTTTGAAAGCGTTTCAGTAGTCATGAGTGTATAACCTTGATCGAACAACTGAGAAGTCGGTATATATGACGGTTCTTGTGTAATAAGGGAAGACGGGATTTGCACCAGCGATTTGGCTGATAAACATATGGATGTCGTTAATATAGGATGTAAAACACCTGATCTGAAATAAGATTCTCGTTTAGTCCTGTCTAAACATTAAACACTGGCCTGGTATACCACGGGTGTTTGTGGCTGGATCTGATTCAGTGTATGAAATAAGGCCCGTCCGACCGCCCTGACGGACGGTCTAGATTTACCGCTAGCCAGCCCGATGGTCTGGTAACAATTTTAGATGTTCCATGCATCTGAGTAAATTCACCATATCTTGCTTGGTGTCTGGTCTGGTTAAATCCATTTTGGGCTGGTAACATTTTCAAGTTACCAGCCCTGATGTCTGGCTGGGTGTTTGGCTTATTTCATACACTGATCTGACTATTATTATGCTGAAGCAACTGGAACTTATCAGAAATTATCAAGTGATCCTTATCAGAAACCATCAAGTGACGCTTATCAGAAACCAGCAATTGTAAACCAAAAGACACCGTGTTCTTTAATCTGATTGGTTGAAAACATGATCGAATGGTATTCGATTCCGGAAATTGCAAGACTATTCACTGCGTATTGACACGTACAAGTATCGCACACACCATTGTATTGTTGCGTCGTCAGCAGTGGTGACGTCATTCAAATCATATTGTGACGTAAAGGCGGAATGACGTCACAAATGAGCAGTTCCAGATGCTAACGCCGTCGGTCCCAAATGAATTCCCGTCCTTCAAATACTCAATAACAACAGGAAATTGGCCAACACATGATGATAATCTCGTAACTGATCCTTATCAGAAACCAGCAATTGACCCTTATCAGAAACCAGCAATTGACCCTTATCAGAAGCCAAGAATTATTGACCTGTATGGAGTTACACATCGACCCCTGTTTATTTGGAGGCATGGACGGAGACGGGTTTCTCATACACCACAGCTTTTATCAGTCTGCCTTCATAATGAAATAACTATAGAATTACGTCAAGAGGATCCCGACTCAATTGCCAAGCAGTGTTTAAATCAGCCTCTTATGAGGCCACGTGTCCACTAACAAAACCATTTCAATATTTCTTACACAGTCTGTACTTTAATACTCTAATTACACAGAGAGTGTTCTAGTACATAACATCGTTAACCTGGTTCATTCTCATTCATCAGATCCTGCCAAATTCTTCCATGAAAATTATATACTGCCGATGAAAGTTAGTGAATGGGTTGGGTCAGAATTGCTTTAGTAACAGCACTTGAGTTATTTGTGACGTCATCGAAAGAAGCAGAGAGGAAAGCCCAAAATGTTGCCAAGGAAGACTGGCAGAGTGAGTCAAGTGGTTGTACCAGCAGCAGCAGCAGCAGGGTTTCATCTATATCCTGGGTGTCGCCAAAATGTGGGAGAAGGCTCCCAAATGACGCAGTTTGAAGAACTTTACCACATAGGAAAAACATCCCCATCAATTTCAGTACGCTTATACAATTAACATTTTACAATAGTTTAACGGAAATGACCATGAAGTGATATTAGAATCTCGCTTTGAGTTAAAAATCTGTCTTATAAGTGAGTTATACATGTCAAATAGCTGTATGTTTTAAAATTATCGTGCCATTCATTATTGCCAGCAATGTATAAAGGTTCCAGACTGACGCACACTTATGCCAGAGGCTATATCACCCCGATCATGGTCGCGATTCATCTACATGTAAAACACCTGCTACAAAAGTCTCTATCTATGAATGGGTCATATAAGCTCCGAACGTAACTAACATCCTGCGTTGTAGTAATATCAATAATTTCCACACGTTCTTTCTTAAGGCTTGTAGCAGTTCTTACTGCGGATTACTATCAGTACATGGGAACCAGACTGTCAATTATGTGATATCACTGTCAAATCTAGGAGCAAAAAGTCATCTCTTCAGGCTAACACACTAAAAAAGAGGTCCTTCAAACCTACAGGCTGTCTGATGTTCTCAAACTTTAAATAATCTGTACAAATAACTATCATGGCCAGTTCTCTTGGGGCGAGTGTTACATTCAATCGGAATTTACCCTGTATATTAGAGATTGCAATAGAAATGAAGTCCATGCAGGATAAAGTCCACATTCTTTTGTGTTAGCTACGATTTTGAATGTTTTGAGTAGAAACTGGAAACAGGGAAACACGATTTTAGTTTTCACTCTATATTCAAACTTTGTTTCCAACTCTATGGCCGCGGTCTGTAAATAATCGAGTCTGGACCAGACCATCCAGTGACCAACATCATGAGCATCGATCTAAGCAATTTGATCCGGAGCACCCGATCCCGTTAGTCGCCTCTTACGGCATGCATAGGCTGCTGTAGACCAATTCTAACCCGGATCTTCACGGGATCGACACGGAGAAGCGCCCAATTGCTCAAGTGTCTCAGTTGCCCTAAATCCTGAAACATTCACGCTCTTGGTTATGGCAGAACCTGCGTTAATGCAGCAGTAAAGTGTCACGTTAAGCAGTGAGAGAAAGTCACCTTGGACCAAACCTTTGCAGAGACCCCAAAATATCAGATGTTGGCGAATAACTGACTATGATATTGATAAATAAGGGAAAGGTGTGGATGAAACCTAATTACAAATATAACTTCGTGCTCTTATAAACCTCAGTAGGTATATTTGTCAATATTATGTCGAAAAATACTCCACCCTCACTCGGTAATGAATTATTGATGCATACATATCCATATCGAAATCTCCACAAATAGGACTGTGATTGATGCCTTCTCCAATAGATAATCAGTAAAACCTCCTGACGTATAACTGCCGGGAACGAGATGAAATATTTCAAGATATTTGATAATGATATATGAGGTTTTACCATGTTATAATATATATTTATTGCTCCATGTGACAAGATGTAGATACTATTTCGTTGTTATTAGTTGCATTTTCAGTTTGACCTTATGAAGAATAGTGGGCAATATTGAGAATTGTGAAATCGATTGCAATCTTGAATCCCACACATTCTCACCCGAGCTCAACTCCGAACACAGATGCACTTGAACTGTAATCACAGTAATAACCAAGGGTTGAAATGAAAAAATCTAATTCTAACCTTACTTCACATATTGTACAGAAAGGGTCCTCGAAATACATATGACATCCTTTGTCTTTCTGTGTGTAGGTTTGAAAGCTGCAAATATTATTGACATGTTTTAAAACGAATCTTCGACCTGAAAATAATTCGCCTTACAATATTAAAGCAAACCTTTTCTTAACTGGCATTGAAAAGCTGAAACTATTGGGAATGAATTTTCCTGCTGCATGTTGAATAAATGGTGATGCTTGAAATCCTGTTTTTCAACATCTAGGAATAACCTGTTTTGCAGCTCAGCGTAAAAACATTTCTCTTTTGTATGAATAAATTTGGATCAGCTCAGAGGTTAATTTGGAATATACGATTTTCCAAAAAAGCCTTTTTTGAGAAATATGAACTATTTGTGATGTGTACTCTGCGAAAGCCTTATCTGCAGATTTACAAACGCTGTTTTATCGTGTGCTAGTTGGAAGAAGTAAGTATTCGCTCCCTGACTGGACAGGCATGTGAAGTTGATAAGCCGCCAGTCTGGTGAATATGTAGTCATACTTTTCCAGCGTGAGAACTGCGAGTATCCTCATGTCTCAGCAAAACGTTGTGGGTTCATGACTGATATTACAGCAGTACGTATATGTTAGATCAGTTATATGACCCAATCTTACATACAAATCTTTGTAGCAGGGGTGTTATATGTAGATGAATGGAGAGTATGACCGGAGTGATATAGGCTATGACATATTTCATATAATGCACTTCCAACTTTCTGACTTGTATATATATTTAATGAGATATGAATGCTCACACCATCACAAAATGTCATATTTTACCACATGGTCAGTTTAGTTAACAGTTTAGTAAACGAGCCGATTTTACATCTTGAAGATGATCAAGCGAAACGTAGTCACCATTTGATGTCAAAGTATAGTTTATCAGCAATATTATTTGTGATACAGTTCCAACCAGCACACCCATCCCTATAATATATGGCCAATCCCTAATAAATGAGAATACAGAGTAACTTTCACGGCGCGCAATACTGACAAATAGCGATCCCAAGTCAAATATGACGTCAGGAACTGAAAAGGTCACCTGACCGCTAGTGGAATACGTATAATGGCCGAAGCTGAAACGTTTTCGCGATTAAAATATAAATGATAATACTTTTGCATTAAAAATTGGGGTACACGTTTCTGATGACATTATCTTTAACCCAGTCAGTTATTGCAATTTTCTAATATTCTGTTATAAGTCTGTGGTTATTATTTTCTTCCAGATGGAGACACATCCTGATAAAGTTGTGTTCCATGTAAGGACAGCCAGTCTACGTTTTTGCATATACATTCACTGGGATCGATGTTTAACTCCTTACGTATTTAGGGCAACGATTCTGGTCAATTGAAACCCAAGAACACTTATGTAAGCTTGAGTCAATTTCTGATAAAGCGCCAATTGATTCTGTAAACGTATCATCAATAAAAGAATAATCAGACGTGGCCACAAATATCCGTGGTATCCCAATTCGTCATTTGCCCAGACTGGCGTCTAAGGGAATGTTATTTCAGGATATAACTCCTTTACACATTTCATAACCGAAAGTAAAGATGTTTATCGCCCATACCTCATCAGCAAATCACGCCTCCCCTTATTGAACAACCAAAGGAACCTTATGGAAAGTAACGCTCATCAAATTGTCCATCGGAAGGGTGATCGTGAATGAGACCATTTCTGTAGGGGCTGCGCCTGTATCCTTTTGTGGGACCTGCTTGACAGACAGGCCTATATGGTTCGCGTCATAAGTGCCACAGATTTTAGAACACCTCGTTATGTCCAAAGCAAAGGATAGTCAATAAACATACTTCTCTCATCACCTGTACATGCATTGATTTTCGCATGGAAGTGGAAATGTTTTGTTGCTTTATGTAATGTCCTAACACAGTGTGTTTCAGTTTTCTTTGTACAGCACAGACATGCATTACTCATATCCAAACTGACTGTTTATCAATACTTGGTCATGCTTTAGAACAATTACGGCATAGTCAAACAACAAATCATCGTCAAAGATGTACATCTCCTTGTAACAACCAGCGGTATCCAACAAGTCCTCCTTTCTGATGTTTCCGTTCTCACAACCAGGGGTATCCAACAAGTCCCCTTCCTTTCTCACCCGGGGGAATTTTATGAAGTCAGATTGCAGAATTAAGTGACAATTATGCAATGTTTTAGCAGTCGGAGGTTACTTAATCTCCTTTTGTAATCGATCAAAGACTTCAGTATGCTCCTTCCAGTGGCAATATTCCTCTACACGTTGACGGATGACTTCTTTGGCCAATATTTGGTTTTAACGTTTTGTTTGCTCCGGATAAGCTTTGATGGCACTGCCACCGATGTAAGCGAAATACATTGCTAGTTATGTGACAAAGATAGCTGGCATCATGAATTGAATTTCTCCAGTGATGAATGTAATGTAAATGGGTGGTACAACTTCGGTTAACCTTTTACAATTTTGTTTGCTCCGGATAAGCTTTGATGACACTGTGACAGATGTTGGTTGGTTTGTTGTTTAATGCCGCACTCAGCAATATTTCAGCGGCGATCTGTAAATAATGGACTCTGGACCAGACAATCCAGTGATCAGCATCATGAGCATCGATCTACGTATCAAGTCAGCGTTGTGACAGTTGTTCCTCGAATGCATTGATGGTTATATGGCAGATATGAATGCGTACTGGTTTGAGAACTGTTTAAAATAATGATCGATGACTGATGCAATAGTGAATTGTCCTTACCATGTCTCTTTATTTTATTTCCAAGTGTTCTTTGTTTTTAATCGTGGCGTAGATATGAAAACATAGACACATGCTACGTTTTGAATCTCTTACAGCATATATCAAAAGTCATGGCGGATTTTAAACAAAAATATACATAGTAACTATTGATCGTTTTCACAATTGGAAATGGAATTTGGGGACAATTATTATGATGGGCACTGGAAACACAGAAGAAATGGTTAACTATTTATTTACATGACACACCTTAGCTTCATACTAAATAACATAAATATATCCAAATATTCTCTAAAGTATAACTGTAACACTTTCATCAAGGTCTTCCAAAAAATTGTTTATCCGTTTTGAAATTTTTCAATAACATACAAGCCTTCTAGCGTTTTGAATTTAAATGTCACAAAATTATAACGATCCAGTCTTGCACTCGGTTTGATCTTTTTTACGTTTATTCTTGCTGCAAAAGGGCTTTGTTATGTTCAAAATAGTTCCCTGTGGCCGGCAGCTGTTCTCACGTCGAATTAATGAGTTCTGTGACAGAAAATGTTAGGTGCACACGAACTAGAAACTGGAAGGGCATGAACATTACTCTTGACTTACACGCTATACGAGAATGTGGTCAGTCTATGTTTGTCTCGTTTCTATTCTCAAACTTGATATATATCATTAAACTTACAGTACCCCTTTAGACTATCGCAGGTTTGTGTAAATGAAGTGATTTAGCACTCTTGTACTTGGGCGGGATCATTTATCTCAGAACCGTGGAAGATTTCAACCAACCTGGAAACGGGAACTTTCAATGGTTTGTCTTATTGACGGGTGCCACCTGTGAGGCAGGATACGCTCGCCTTTTCGCCAACACCTGGTATCATCCCTTTATTGTTATACTTTATTATACTAACATTTGTATAGCGCTAATATCCAGCTCAGCTGCCCAAAAGCGCTTTGATTATTCCCTCGATCATTGGAAGTCAAACACAAACGACACATCGTATTATCAATCTCAACTATATCATAGTGATTCATAAACACACGCTCTGTTGCATGACACTGTATGATCACTGGATTGTCTGGTCCAGACTCGACTGTCTACGAACAACATAACACGGCTGTAATACAAAGAAATAGGTTGTAGTTGTGATATTCTAGTTGTTTTACTGTCCTTCGTCGACAGGTTTTTATAATATGCATATATTCCATTTCAATGTCACATATGTTCGCGTCACGATATGGCTGAAATACTGCCGATGTGACGTTAAATAATAACTCACTCACTCACACAAAGAAAAAGATACTGATATAGTCAGAATTGTACAATCGACTCACTTCTATTGATTTTTAGAAGTATTTACTGATTGCAATTTGATTTCTTTGAGACACCAATATTAATGGATTATTGCATGATAATCAATTAAAATGCAATTTGTTGATCACTTACGTCTTCAGTTATAGATTGTCAACCAAATGGTCCTCTTTGTGTTTCAAGGAATTGTCTTTGTTCTACATCTTTCATAATTATGTATTTAAACTTATTTCACATACCACTCTGAATGAATATAGTGAGTATTTGAAATGTTAAAAAATGGTTTTGACATACACCAAACATGATCAGGACATAATCCCTTTCTTTTCCGTTTTCACAGTTTCTCCTCACGACTCTTATGTACAATATACTGTCAGTTGTTTTAAAAGAAACACCACTATGAAGTGTTTAGGCGTGGTGCTAACTTTGCTTGCAGTCTGTGGCAACCCGTGTCATGTCGGTAAAGTACGACCTACAGAAGATATTTATATAGGGTTATTTCTATTACCAAATGTTGTCACTTTACAGGTCGCCTTTCAGTGCAGCCATAAACTTTTCGATGAGCATTGTTTCAAATTCCATATTGGTCCTGTGGTTCAATAAGCGTAGACATGATTTACTGTAGAGCTTTGACTGATAAACATATTAACCGTCGGTAATGAAATGTGTAAAGCAGATCTGTTCTGAAATAACATTCCCGTGGACGCCAGTCTGATCAATAGCACAATTGGGATAACATGGATATTTGTGGCGACAACTGATTATTTAGTTATTGATACTTCGTTTTCTTAACTGACCATTTATCAGGAACTAACTCAAGCTTACAGAATTTTTCGTGGATTTCATTTGAACAAAATTGTTTTTCCTAAATGATTATGGGGTTACAATTAGACCCTTCTGAATGTGTTTGCATAAACGTAGACTGGTTGTCCTTATATATTGAAAGGAACTTTAGCAGGATGAGTCTCAATTTCGCAGAAAATGAATGCAGTAACTATAGAATTAAGTTTAAAAGGATCTTTGCTCTTTTAAGACTCGTCTGAGGTCATTTGTTTACTAACAAAACAAGTGCAATATTTCTTACAGAATCAGTACTTTAGTATTCTACTTACACAGACATTTGGAACACCTTACACCATAAGCACATTTCAGTTACATCGTGGGTGTCATTAAAAGCAGACAGGCAGCTCCCAAAGCCTCTATTCAAAGCATAAGTTTGTACAATATGTTCTCGTATTATATGCTGAACAAATTACTTGACTCTTAGTACTAGTGCTACATGTGTAGCTTAACGCGCAAACCAAACAAATGGTATATGAGATAAACGCTGATAAAAGTATAAAGAAAGAATGCCATCAGTATGCCACGTTTATATATATGTTGGGTATTGAAGGTGTGTAACTCAGACAAAGCAAGCAAGAAACATGACCCAAACTCTGCAAGCCCATTTTTATGCAAAAGATATGACGTCTCCGTCTAGACATTTCAAGCACCTAGTTGCCCCTCAATTCTGAAAGAAATCCCAAACGCTCTGTGATTAGTTTTTGTCCTGATTTATGGCAGAATCTCTGTTAATGCAGCAGTAAATTGTCATTATTTAATGGTCAAATCTTTGATGAAACTTTTGCAGAGTATCCAAAATACCTGATCTTGTAACTATCCAATAACATACTTTATGATTGATGAATGAGGTTAAGGTGAGATTGAACCTAGATTAGAAACATAAATCAGTCTTCAAATAAAGTCATATACATGTATCAGAGAATGGTATCATTTCCGATAGTATCTCTAAAAATACTCTGATCTTTCACGGTTCCGAAAGAAGTATTTGTGGATATTTATTAAGTTCAATAAAAGTCAGAAGCGTGATCATATCCAGTAATGGATAAATTCCACCAAAGCGCCATCTCTAGCAGAGATGGTGATGAAAGAAGTAAAAGTTAATTGTTACATGAACTACAGAACTATTCCTCGCTGCCAAAGTACAGACATTTAAAGTGCAGGTGATTAATGTCATTTTCGTTGCACAATTATGACATTAAAATGGGACAATTTCGGAGATCTTACAACCCTCACATTCGCAATCATGCATGCTCTAATGAATGGATGAACTTCGACTTTAATCACAATTTTGTCATAAATACAAATTCCAAGCATTTCAAAATTAGGTATTGCTTAAACTTAGTAGTGATGAAACAAAAAGAATATAATTCCTCTTCATACGAATACATTTGGTTACTTGAGTACTTGACATATTTTACAGATCTTGTCTGCACAATAGGATCCTTAAAGGTCACATGCAACGTAAAACACAACTTTGCAGATTCTGA